AGAGCTGCGAATGGCTTTATTGAAAACGTTTTTAAAATGTGGCTGTTTTTAGTATCTTTTAATCCTTTTTATGCATACATAACATTAGAAAATCCATAAGCAAATTACTAGGCACTAACATTTCAGAATACTAAATTGATTTCAAATAAATTTCATTTTATTTTCAATATTTGTACATTTGTATATTTTGTTGGGTCATTCATTTTTTTGTAGTTTTAAGCTCAGATTAGGGCTTCATTTGTGGAGATCCCAATAGCCATATACAAAGCCTTCCCTGATGAAAGCAGAACCGAAGCAAATGCTTTCAAATAATTTTATTCCTAAATGCAATATCGAAGCTCTTCAGAGATTTAACACACCAAAAGCTTTAAATAAATAAGAAAACAAGTTCAGTAAAATACAGTTGCTTTGCACTTACAGGATGTTTTATTTTAAAAGGACTAAAGGTGGCTATGTAATTGCATTGCCTTACAGTTTCAAGCACTGTTGTGACATTTTTTCCACCAGCAAAATGGACATCCAAGTGAATAGAAACCTTTTAAACAATAAGTAACTAATGTAGTAAAGGATTCAGATCACTACTTACGCCTCGAATACGCATCAAGAGTCCAAGTATTCTTATTTTCTTGCTATTTACACACAATTTAAAAAATACAATAAATCGCAAAAACCAAGAATACACATAAATATTGTAACCAAATGGACATTTTATTTTTTTTATTGAATAAATTTAAAACTACAAAATAAATATAAAAATATAAATATTAAAGAATATTCAAAAAAAAAGATGGGATTACAAATGTGGCTTCCAATTTTGATTTAAGTGTTAACGGAAGTGCAACTTAAATAACAAAAACTATCACATCATCAGAATTTACTAGACAGTTACTTAATATTTTAGTCTCTGGAATCTCTCAAAAGCTATTAAAAATGTTTTCCAAAGCATCCATAGGCAAATGTCATGAATCCTTGTTTGCACTTGTTCGTGTTGTTCTTGTTTGATTTCCTTTATTGCAAATTACATTATCATTTTCATACACAAAATAATACACAAATAGATTCTAATAGATACCAACACATGCAGTGCAAGTACATCAGTACATCAGTAGACCTGGTATATTATATATATACATATTGATATGCACATAACTGATATGACATTGTATCTAAGTATCTAAGTGAGTATCTTTGTTTGAAGCATTTCATGGATTTATATGAATCGGTTCAAATTTGTACATACCTAAGTGAATAAGTATGCACATGTAAGGATATAGTGAACTCATGCGAAGCATTTTTTGACTCCTTTGCTCCTTTGCATTTTGCTTACTCAAAGAACATCATCAGTTGCAAAAGTTAAGTTCATATTTGCTGCATAGCAATGCTTAAGAGTGGATGCTTAAAAGTAGTTGTATACTGCATACAAAAGAGTGCATATCTTAAATACACAATATACACAAGTACGAGTATGTATTCATGTTAGAAGATACATGTACTAAACTTTCCGGTGATTGTTTCTCAGAAATCTTTTTGCTTATTTAGCTTTGGAGTTCAAAAATGTCCAACTATGCCTCGTGATGCATTATGCATGCATTCATATATGCACAACGGTTGTAAAATATAAATATATGCAACTGCATACATATTTGTGAAGGCATATTTGTACATAAGCATAGATACGTACGTTCAAATACACCACATCCTTTTGCATCCTGCTACGATTAAGAAACATTATTTTTGCTTGTTTTACAAAATTCAGAATGCAACAAGATATTTCGTGCTGTGCATACATGATCACTCTAAAGAAAATTATTCCTAAATTTCATTTATTCTCATTACAGATACTTACAAAATTTTTAAATACTTCAGAGTTCTCCCAAAAAATTTCTTTTATAATATTTATCTATTTTTTCCAAATGATGTCTATTTATAATAAATATTAAAAATTAGAATGAGTTCAATTGGAAAATGGTTTACACAACAATAGAAATATATTCTGTCTTTACAAAACTGGTAGAATGTGCCCCGGTTCTTTAAAATTGCTCATTTTTATATCATTTAAAACCATAACTCTTGAACCACTTTCATTATTAAAAAATATATTGATCTCAAATTTCGAGATTGGGAATACCGTATAAGCAACTTTCTATCAGCAGAATAGGCTAAAGTATTTCATCTGCCTACTATATATACAGATCACTGCCAACTGAAGCATCACCTAAATTAGTTGTATTTTTTTAAAACCCATGCTTGTTGAATTTTAAGTAAGCTCAGCAGTAGTTCAAATTTTTAGTCAATTTCTGTTTAAATATACTAATTGTTTTTAATTATCCGCTTAAGTGTATATAATTTCCATTATTAACGAATGCGGCGGCATTCATTCTAGAGACAGCTTTTTGAAACCAAAAGCTAATAAAATTTTAGTTAAAGTAACTAATCCAATGCTAAGAGTTTCTACTAAATCTATTTCACTTAATCCATAAGTTTCTAAAATCATATCCCCAATTTTTCAACGATGTTGATGCATGAGGTGTGCTTCATATTTTTACCGCTTTTCAACTACAAGATTCACTTCGTATTTCTTTATAATGGAATATATTTATCGGAAATATGATAAAAATTTGATTTAAATTTCCATTGATTTTAAACTTTTTTAAAAAAAAAACTTAATCACTATGTCTTCAATTCTCTTGATTGTTACAAGAGAACGTATAAGTACAATGTTTTAAGAAATGTTTCTTATATTAACGAATACGAGATCGTAGATTCGAACACCTGAACTTATTGAATAACTTATTAAGAATTGGTGCTGAAAGCTCAAGTATATTTGCTGCTGGTTGGATCTCTCAGAAATAGCATTTGACTACAACAGAAACATTGTTTGCTTAAATGAAATTTAAGCCCTTATTGCCTTGTGAGAACATCCGATATTTCTAATAATATAGGAAACCTCAACTTTTATAATAAAACTTGACACAGCTTGACAGAAGGGCCATTTTGAAGCGTTCTGTTAACAAATAATTCAAACAACATCAAAATCATCCATTGTAACTTTATACAAAAATGTTTTTCCTTACCGATATGGGACCAAAATATTTCATCTCATATCAGCACAGTTTATTCAGTATAATATATGCAGATGCTGCAATAATTCAATCCCTTTTCAAAGGATCAATCGTAACAACTATATACAGCAATGGAAGAATTTTATTATATGAAGATTATTGAAAAACTCTGAAAGTAAGAAGTTTTGGTTTAAGATTTAATAATAGCAATAACAAATTCTTTTCGATTAGTCATCGTTTCTAATATGATAGGAACGAGTTCTAAGCCTGGTACTTACAGTCCACCAAAATATATACGGAGTATTAACTAATTAAATAAAAATTCGAATATTTTCTAAGATCACTGAAGTACTTAGCATACTCGAAACAGCGTTGTATGGCCAGCAAAATTTCAATAAACTAATCAAATTTATTGTTGTTTCTTCATTACTGTTCGAATCCTCCTAATTTTCTTTTCGTCATAAGACGCGTCATATTTGACAAAATAATCAACACCAAACCTTTATTCCTATTTATTATTAAAAATGCTAATAATAATACGCAGCTAATAAGATCTCTTGTGAAATTCTTAAGAAACGTCATATAGATTAATGTGATATAATAAAAATCATTAAAATTTGTGCCTTAAATTTTATTTTTAATAAATACAATCAAAAATTCAAGAAATTGAATTTCAAACTCAGAAATAAAATTGGAAACACAACAAACGAATAATACTTAATTCAATTTTCACTTCTCTATCTATGGACCAAGTAACTATCCTTATATGTTGGACAGAAATGCGAATGTAAGAGGAAGGAAAACCATTAACCGTAAACCCGATTTCATTATAATTCATATCTCATTTCACTATCTCTGTGGTAAACGACCCAGCAATCTCTCAACTTACAACTTCGTATGTAAGAGAAAGGAAAAGCATTACCCATGCTTTTCCTGATCGCAAATTTAGGGAATACGGATTACTAAAAAAGCAACTCGCTAAGCAGGTCATTGCAACCTAAGATATCTTTAAAATAACTTGTGTTTTTCTGTCACTCATGGACATCGAAAACTAAAACCAGACACTTAGATATAGATTTCTATAAATTCTCGAAGAATAAAATTAATAAATCAAATCTTTACATACGCAGTTAAAAGCTAAAGCTATGCATGAAAGATCTATTCATAGCTAAAGCTATTATTATGAAATCATCTATTCTAGAGACAGTCCTTCTTGGCCTTTAATAACAGCCATCTATTTAGTCATTATTAAGTGATTTTTGCATTTTTTGTTTGTTATATGAGTATAGTTTTATGTCTAGTAAGCTCATACCACTCAATTGAAATGTATTTAATATCTCAAAATAATTTTATATAAAAAAATAAAACAATTAATTATAATTTTACTAAAAAGTTTAATTATTTATTTTTTATTTTATTTTTTCAAAAAAATGCAGATTTATGTCTTTTGGTGTATGACAACTTTCCAAATATAAGTTATATTCACTGGAATATGTAGCAGCCTTTAAAAATGTCAAACCAAAGAAAATAATCTCAAAAAATTATGTTCATAAATTAAAAATAGGATTTATGCAAATGAAGCGCATCTGTTTTTAATGTCAAGTGCATTTACAATCAGCTTATGCTGAAGTAAATAGATTTATGCCTATGTGCATGTCGACAAGAGATGGGGAGTGGGGAATATTTCAACATATGAATTTTATAAACAAATTAGCCTCAAAAAAGATTTTTATGATGAGTGCAAACCCAAATTTTATTGCCTTCACAAGACTCAAATTGCTTAATTCTCTAAAACGCCCATCACGCCCATTGTTGTCCGCCCAGAAAACAACACACAAACATTTCAATTATATTTTGTATACGAATTTAGTTAATCTCTATTTAGATCACAATTACACGCATTTAATTTTACGTTCAAACGATTCATCTTCATTACAGGTCTTGCTGCATCATGTGACACATTGCTGCTGGCTGAAATGTCAGTGTCACGTTTTCATCCGATTATCATAAATAATGGTCAAGTGCATAATAGTACCCTAACGAGCAATAGCGATGAGCAGAACATCACCACAAAACAGAATTTAACAGAAAATGATGGTACCAAAAAATTTAACTATACCAAATCTTCAGCAACAACCTCGTCACCATCCGCTTTTGCATCCACAACTGCGACATCATCAACATCAACATCATCATCAGCAACAGGAACAGCAACAGCATCAGCTACAAATGCAAGTGCAAGTGCAAGTGCAAAATTGAAACGAACTCCTCCATCTCAATCCCATGCAAAAACGAAATCCTCAAACAAGAACAACGGCAACTCAACCACAAACAATGAAATCATTTACAAATTCTATGTGCCCCGCAACATCGGAGTAGCCACAGCACGCATCACAATTGCTCAAGTCTGTCTGCAGTGTCCGGATGTTGGATTTCATATACAGGCCAATGCACTACCCTCATACACATCTAGTACTAGAAAAAATTATGAAAGTAATTACATTCACAGCACAATCATCAAGCCCAATCAGACAGGCGAAATCTCGATCGAATTTTACGTGCAACCTAACACATGGCACTATGCACTCCTTAAGTTTGAGAATGCAGTAGGCGACGCATCAAGTTCACTGACGGAAACTGATGCAAAGCTGTTCGATAGACTGGCAACGAGCACATCTGACCTACGATTAAGGAATATGCCAACAGCATTTACATACGGTCAGCGGCAAAGAATACAACAGCTACAACAACAACAGCGAGCTCATAGACGTCAAAATGCCACTGATGGAGTGTCAGAAGCCAATGAAACAATTTGGTATCATTTGGTATACTCATTACGAATCGATTTTCAGGAACCAGTAAACGAGGATGAAAATGCAGATTCAGATACAAACATAAGCAACAACAAAGAAAATGGCCCAGAAAACATGTCAACCAGCATTAAAACCTCGCCAAAAATGGCTGCAACCAGTGAAACCGATACCAACAATGGAACCAAAGAAGCAGGAAACAACACAACAGCGAATTCAAAATCAAATGCATGGAAGCCTGTGATTTTCCGCGACATGGAATTTTATCCTCTTTTACGTCAAACATATCGTGAATTTTTTATGTTCGATTATGATCTCGTGCCTGATTCGAATGGTACGGTGCCAACGGTACTAAACCTTACAGCAGGTATACCAGCCGGTTTTGCATTTGAAATAGGTGAGGTGTATGATATTGGCGGAACGCTATCTTTTGCTGTGTCCATGAAGCATGGGTTAAAAGGTTCTAATGAACTGAAGAGCCTACCAACAATGACATCGCCCACAGAACGAAGTGGAATTTTAGCTGAAAAATTAATTGGAAGACCTTTTGGCCAAGATGATGATGTGGTGGAAAAAGAAGAAAATAAAGCACTTCCACGTAGTAATCAAACAATAATTGTATGCATGCATCATGGTGAACCAGGTGAACCGACGTGGCCTGATAAATGTCGTTATGGCAGAAAATTATATCCGGCATCAAGCATAGTGAACAACACAGATTCAAATACCAGCACTGGACTTGTGCACGTTCCTTTTCCTGAAAGCGGACAATGGTATGTAACGATGGGTTTATATTGCCACGGAGCCGAAACTGCGGCAAGGGTCACAATCATCGACAGCGTCAAAGACTTTGTCAAAAAATATGGAAACATGCTAGATGAAATGAGGGCACCGTGTGCATGCGCAAACAGCGCCAACTATTATCTAACCTGTATAAACGACCGCAAGTGTTTAGCATCTATGAATGA